TGTTTTAACGCCACCATTGCTCCCTCATTTGACTTTCCTACACCTGTTCTCGCTTGTTCAGCTTGCTCAAATCCACAACCGGTGCTCCACGCCCACGATCCAGTGATACTTCGCCCAGCCACCATGGACGCGCAGTGGCAGCAATACTACTGGAATCATTATTTGATGCAGCAACATCATCAGCAGCTCACCAACCCAGATACCACAACTTCTCCTCCCACCACCGCACACCACGCCTACAGCCCCACAGGCACCTACGGCCCACTCACTCACGCACTTCGTACACACCACGTCCACCACTCCAACCCATATGTGACTCCACCGTACACACCGCCATCGCAGCATACACCCCCACCCCAGGCATCCACCTCACAGCCGGAGTTTCCACCTCCGCCACCGCCACCCCTGCCAACGGCCGAACCCGTTACTCCACCACCATCGACTTTCCAACACAGCCCACCGCCACCACCCACACGTGGCAACACAGCGCCTGCCCCACCGCCCCCACACATCCCATCTCCCACACCACCTGTTCCCGACTCCTGGAACCCAACCGAGCAACATTGGGACTCCAACACCCTGCACGGCCACCAACTACATCGTACAATTCAACCCACCCAGTGGTCTCGAAAAGCAGGAGTGGCCGAACTCCCCACCTTTGAGGTTTTCCCGTGGCAATTGGCTTACCACGGTACCTCCGAGTTCACCGCCCGTACCCTGAGCAACGGCAAATTCACAGGTTTCATTGCCACCAGAAGCATAGCGGAGTCGGTCTTCGTGACCCATTTTCTCCAACAACTCCGCGAGAACCGCCTTGACCTTGACGGCATCGCGGAGGCTATCCACACCCAACAGAGCACAGACATTCCCAACAAAACTACCCATGCCCGAGCGTTTCACGCTCCCCTCATCAAACTGCTTATCGACCAACTGCAAACCCACTCTCCAGCACCTGCGGAAGGCTCCGCTCTACGCGCCCTCAAAAACACCAACGACGAACTGGCTCGTGCACGTCAGAAACTCCAAGACCTGGGCAACCCACTCACACCAGTCAAGAACACCAGCCGATCTTCCGCACCAGCCCCTTCTCACGCACCCACGCCACCACCACCGAAACCACCAGCCATCACCGACGTCTTGCAACCACCACACCCCACGCTGCAAGACGATATCCCCGAAGGCTGGAACCACCCAGAGATCCAACAATGGGTCACTACCTTCGACCCCACCATCCAAGAAGCTGCGACGGAAGTCATCCGACTGCTGCAAACAAGCAAAGTTAAAGTCACCACGCAGCAGCTAAAAGAAGCAGCCACCAAGTATGGCCTACCCCTCAACCGGGTCAACCGACTCCCCATTCGCAGCCTACAACAGCTGGTGGGAGTCGGAGCAGCCATTGGTTGCTGACTCGCCATCTTGGCCCAGCAGCAACCCAGCCACACCAACCTCACCCAACTCTTCCACCTGCACCGAGCACTTTCCATGCTCATCCACCGCACCCAATACATCGACCGCGCCGAGGCCATCTTTGCAACCGGCCTCATCCACATCACCCTCCTTTTCGCATACCCGTCCAACACCCGTCGCTCACAACAATGGCGCAACCGTCTCCGCCAGCTCCACATTTTACCCCACACCTACCACTACCACAACTTCCTCTCTTCCAATTCCGTCTACATCAAGCTCCACTTCAATCCCGACCAGCCCCAACGCTGCTACCATCAACATGGCCACTTCTACGTTGGCTCCACAGCTATCGGCATCCCCCACCGCGAGCACAATCGCCGCGCCAAACTAAAACAACTCCAAAACAACATTCCCATTTCTGCAGAACTTTCCTTACGTTATTGGCACTCACACAACAACATCCACCACTACACCACTATTCAACTCACCTCCCATGACACATACGACCAAGCCTGGATCCAAGAGCACCACTACATCGCCAACTGGATGCCTTCACTCAACTGGCCTTTCATTTCCCACCACCTCAAACTCAAAGCTCAGGGATGGCAGTTCGCGAAACACAGAGCCCACTTCTACTCCAGATTAGCCACCCACAAACGACTTTTCCGACGCCTTCGACAACGCCAGTACACCCTCAGAGAACCACACCTCTACACTTCCACTAAGCATCACGCCCTCCAACTTCTTCGCAACCTTACCAAACACACCGCAGCCTCTTTTGAGGCAGCAAAACAGCTAAGAAGCGGCCGCCACACGGACCTCGAGGTGTATGCAATCCGGCGTATGGCCGCAAACTTGGAAGAACCTGGCCGCAGCCGAGCTCTCCACATCCTCAACAAAGCCTTGGTCTACCGCAACCTCACGCCACCAAAACCAAACATCCCATTGACAGTGCCCTTCTTGGCCCATGACGACTTTACCAAGCACTGCCAACAATGGCTTCGTACTACCATCCAGCAGCACAAGCATTTCACTATTCCCCTCCACCTCCCCTCCCACAGACTGAGGGAAGCCGCCCACAAAACCCTCCGCTCCCACCTGCACAGCCATCGCACATGGGAGGACATCCTCCACTCCCCGCCAGATCCAGCAGACCTCCCCTGTGCATGCGATCACCTTCGCACCCTCCTGCAGGATCCCGATACCCCTACCATCAACGGCCACTACATCCTTACACTTGACCAACTCCAACTCCCTACACACCTCAGCATTTTCCTCAACGCCAATATGAACAGCACCTATTACCCAAGCAAAGCTCGGTACTTCCTCATTTTCAAGACGGCCTACACCAAATGGCTCAAACTACAAGGGCTTCCACCATCCCTAGTTCAACACCTACAGCCTTTCCTTGAGCACCAATGGCGCCTTCACAACACACACCTAAAGCAGCAACCCCGTTTTACGGCCCGCCTGCTTCGTCAACTCCAAGAACATTTGGGTAAACACACATTACTCCACCATGCCGATCATGAGCTCCAACAACTGCGACTGTTTTGCCCTCGCCAATACTTCACTGGCGCCTTGAACACCTGGCAATCCCCCGAACTATTTGAACCACTTCCCTACATCACTGCCACCAACATCCATGACCACCTGGCCGCCACTGTCCCCCCCATCCTGCGCACCCGCTACAAGTGGGGCTTCCGCAAAGACTTCAACATTCCTTACGGCGTTGTCCACCTCAAGGAGAAGAAGCACTGGCAAAAAGGCCGTACAATTATCTCCTACTTCCAATCCCTCAGTGGCAACCTACTTCGCATCACCAGCCGTGCCCTTGACATCATCCTCCAACACCTCTACCCTCAGCATCCCGGCCAAATGTCCATTCCCCAGCTTTGGCACCATTTTCACAGCTACCTCACCCAAACCCCACCAGACATCTCACTACACGCCACCAACGATGACCTGGTCGGTTTCTTCAACTCCGTCCCCCAGCACCGACTCATCGATGCGGTTCACTCCCTCGTCCACCACTGGCAACAACAGCAATCCACACACACCTTAACGGTGGATGTCCAGGCCACCGGCAATCCTTTCCACCACTCCCACATTGGCAGACACCATCGCAAACACCCTACCCAACGCACCATCCAGACTTCCGACATCACCACCATTGTGGCTTTTGCCCTCGACACATGCATTTTCCGGGCTTGCAACAACACTTACAAACAAATCCGAGGGGCCGGGATTGGATCCCAGCTCTCTCCAGCCCTATGCAACGTTGCTATCACCCTCATTGAGCACTCCTGGCATCAGATACACAACAACCTCCTTCAACACACAGACCTCCACTTTACTTACTATCGCTATGTTGACAACCGTTTCATTGTCCACAGCGAACATTTCCTCCAGCACCCGGCTATCCAAACCCTTATCCACCACAATTTCTTTGGCGACCCTGTGGAACTCGAACCGGTGGAGGATTTTCATCTCCTCGGTTTCAACATCGACCTCCCACAACGCACTATCACCTACATGCAACCTTCTCAACCCTGGAAAATCCGGGATTCCACAACCGCCGGGAGCCAGCGCTTGGCTCTATCAGGCCTCCAATCACGACTCCACACCATTCGAAAATACACATTTCCACCCTCCAGCGCTGACGCTGCTGCGGCTGAACTCGTGAACCTATATGTCCAAAAGGGGCATAACTACCACGCCTGCCACCGGTTTTTGAAAAAAGCGCCGAATGCGGCGA